AGCTCCTTGTGCCTGGGCCCTTTCCAGCCTCTTCCTCGGGCGGCTGAGGGGCCTGCGTCAGCCCCGACCCCGCGGGGCGGGCCCGCGTGCTGCCCGCGCCCGCCTCCTCGGGCGTCTCGCTCGGCGGCGGAGGGGCGCCAACCTAGGGCGCCGGCGCCTGCTGGTCGCGCAGCTCCGCAACGACCGGGGCTTCGAGCGCGCGGGGCTCATCGAAATTGATTGGCTCGTCGTCGAGCGAGTCCTTCAAGCCCTGGCAGATCTTATCGGCCATGTCTTGGCCCCTCTCCTGGTGCGCGCCCGCAGCGTCATCGGGCACCAGCTCGCGCAGTTCTTGGAGCCCGACCGCGGGGTTCTACTTCACCATGCGGTTGGCAGCCGTCGCAAAATTCTCGCTGCCAGCCGCGCACTTGGCCACGCTGGCACGGCCATCTGCCATTGGCAGAAAACCTATGCGCGCCAGGACGACGTAGTCGAACTGGAGCGCCTCGATGTCGGTGTCTGTGGTGAATGGATTCTGCGCGAAGGCTTTGACGTGCCAGTTGCTGGCGATCGTGGCCCTGGGAGCGTGGCCGAAACGTAATTTACGAAAGGTCGTGGCCCTGGGCGGACGAAGCGCGGCGTGAATCCCGCATGATCTACAAGGGGGCTTCGCCCTGGGAGCGCGAATCCAGCGTGATTCACGGGAGATCTCGGCACTGGGAGCGCGAAGCCCGCGTAATTTACAAGGGATCGTGGCCCTGGGAGCGTGCATCCGTTGTAATGCACGAAGGATCTTGTCCATGGGGTCGCGAACGCACTGCAATTTGCGAGGGCTTTGGCTTTGGGAGCGCGAAGCGTGTATAATTCTTCACGCTTCGCGCATCCCCACCAGAGTCGCCTCTGCCTAATTAGTCTCTGCGTAGCCCGCTTGGACCTGACTCGCCGCTGGCGCGCTCGCCCGCGGCCGCTGGCTAAAAAAAAAAAGATATCCCCACCAGCTTCTTCTCCCCTCTACCGTCGCGCGTAATTTAGGCCGCCGCTTAGTTCATTGCGCCATTGGACGCCGCCCGACTGCTCTCGGCGCGGTCGCGATCAAAGAATTATCCCAGTGCGTCCCGACCTAGGAGTTGGAGCCCCGCATTAGTAGTAACAGCTTAAACTAAGCTAAAGCTACGCTAGAACTAAGCTAAAGTTAAGCTAAAGCTAAGTTAAAGCTACGCTAAAGCTAAGCTAAAGCTAAGCTGCAGGTGAGCTAAAACTACGCTAAAGCTAAGCTACAGTCAAGCTACAGCTAAGCTAAAGCTAAGGAGCAGCTAAACTAAAGCTGAGCTACAGCTAAGCTAAAGCTAAGGTAAAGCTAAGCTAAAACTAAGCTAAAGTTAAGCTAAGCTAAACTGAAGCTAAGCTAAAGCTAAACTAAAGCTAAGTTAACGTTAAGCTACAGTTCAGCTGCAGCTAAACTCGAGCAAAGCTAAAGCTAAGCTAGAGCTGAGCTAAGCTAAGATGAGATAAGATAAGCTAAGCTAAGCTAGGGTAAGCTACAGCTGAGCGAAGCTAAGATGAAGCTAAGCGAAGCTAAGCTTAGCTAAGCTCAGCTAAGATGAGATAAGCAACGCTAAGCTAAAGGGACGTACCTGGGGAAACCGCGGGGCGGGGACTGGGGGAACCGCCCGGGGCGTTTTCCACAACCCGCCTTTTTAAGCAAACAGAGTAAGAACCTTCTAGGCAGAGCCTAGGGAGGGAGATATCCCCACCAGCCCATCTCAAAACAGCAACTTTTGCGAAGCATATTGATTGTCGTTGTTTTCTGGCGTACCTTCTCCTGCCCGCGCAGGTACTATCGTGTTTCTCCTACATCGCACCTGCTCCCTTTTAGCTCTTCTTTGCGAGAGGAGTGGGTGGGGGACGAGGCGGGGGAAGAAGAAGAGAAGACGGTGGGAGGCGAGAGGGAGATAGCGGCGACGACGACGACGACAGACGACGACGGCGATGACCACAACAACGACGACGACGACGACGACGGCGACGACCGCGACGACGACGAAAACGACAACGATAACGACTATGACGACCCCGCCTGCTCCCTTTTAGCTGTTCCTTGTGGGATGAGTTGGAGGAGGACGGGGCGGAGGAGGAGGAAGAGGAGGAGGAGGAAAAAAAAAAGGCGGTGGGAGACGAGAGGGAGATAGCGACGACGACGGCGACGACGGCGATGACCACAACAACGACAACGACGACGACGACAACGACGACCACGACGACGGCGACTACGACGACGACGACGACAACGACGACGACGACGACGTCGACGTCGACGAGGACGACGGCGACCACGACGACGACGCCGACGACGACGAAGACGACGAAGACGGCGAAGACGACGACGACGACGACGACGACGACGACGACCACGACGACGGCGACGACGACGACGACGACGAGTCAACCTCCAATGCCTTTTCTGGGTCTTTCTCTCTGAGAGCCTCTTGGAGGCAGCTTGGGGCTATCCGAGGGCCTTCTTGGAAATATTTAGGAGTTCTCTGGGCCCTGTTGGGGTATCCGTGGTGCCTCTTGAGGCACCCCTGGAGCTCTTTCGGAAGGTCTTGGGGCCCTCTTTGGGCTCTTGGGCGGGTCTGAGAGGTCTTTTGGGGCCGCGGTGGGGGCCGCGACTCAAAAAGGAGCGCGGCATCAATCAGGGTCCCCCCCTTCGGAACCCGGAAAGTGGCCTCGTGGGGCCCTCTGGGGCCGCTCTTGGAGCGCTCTTGGGCCCGTCTTGGGCCTCTCTGGGGCCTGCCTTGGGGCTCTCGTGAGCCCATTGAAAGCGAAAAGGCGAGCAGGGAAGCAACATTGAGTTGTCTTAGGTTTTTGAAGGACTTTGGCCTCTCGGAGGCGTCCTTGGGAGGCTCCGTGGCCACTTGGGGCCGTCTTGGGGCGGTCTTGGAGCTTCGTGTAGGCTTGTTAGGAGCTTTCTTGAGTCATCGAAGGCTATCCGTAGCGATCTTGGAGGTCATCTTGAGCTCTCTTGGGCTGTCTTGGCGCCATCTTAGGCCAATACAGACGCTCCAACGACCCGCGGCCCCCCCCTCCGGGCCCAGGGGTAGGGGGTAGGGAGAGGGGTCAAGCTACCCACCCGCCCGCATGCCGTCTAGCTGATTCCCCACCGCCCTCCCTACACATAAGTAACACCCGAGCCTGAGCATGTTCAGCGGTCGCCTTTGGATGGACAGCTGGACAGCTACTGGGAAACAAAGCCGACCCTAGGTGCGCGACGCTTGGGCGAGGTGTGCCACGCGTGCCAGGGGCGCCACGCGCGCCAGGCACCCCTGGGGCCCGAGCGTGCCAGGCACGCCTGGTGCGCCAGATGCGCCACGTGCTCCGAGTGCGCCAGGTGTGCCGCACACTCCAGCCGCGCCTGGTGCGCCACGTTCGGGGCACGTGCAGAGTGCGTCAGGTGCGCCTGCGCACGTGACAGCACACATCGGGAAACATGTCGGCCCCCGCCATGCTTGTCTAAAACCAATGCCCATCATTGTGTCTGCTGGGCCTGCGCACAGCAGGCCACACGCCACCACCCCCGCCGTCCGTGTCAAAAACCACTTGACAGTGATCGCGGGATGGCCGAGTATGATCCAGATTTAGCCGCGAGGTGCATGTTGTATTGTTTTTGTCAGGGATGGTAGCCCTGCGCACAGCAGGGAATCTGCTGACCCCCGCCGTCCTTGTCAAGAAAATACAAGTGCTCGCGGGCCTCACGAACATGTCTCAAGACTTTGCCCCAAAGTGTACTTTGCATTATTTTCTGAAAGGGATGGTGGGGGGGCCGCTCGGGTTGGCGGCGCATGCTCCCCGCCAAAAAAATGTGGAGACAGGGTGCGGTTTGTATTTTTTTTGACAGCGATGGTGGGGGGCGGGTCCTCATGGAGTCGGCATGGTTCCGGGTTGGACGCTGGCCGGATGGGGGAGGGGGTGAATTTCAATAAGGAACAGTGATAAACCCTTTCCCGAAGGGGGAAGAGGGGTTGGACAGACGAGGCTCTCTAAACCACTCACGCCCAGAGGGTTGGTGGGATTTACAAGGGATCGTGGCCCTGGGAGCGTGCATCAAGTGTAAATTACACAGGGTCGTGGCCCTGCGAGCGTGCATCCCTTGGCACGTCCCCTGGCACGTCCCCTGGCGCGTCTCTTCGGACGTTCTGCGGCGCGTCCCCGTGGCATGTCCCGCGGCGCGCCCCTTGGCGCGTCCCTTGGCGCGCCCCATGTGCGGCACGGCACAGCGCAGCGCAGCACAACACAGCCCCTGGCGCGGTATCGTCTCCATCGATATCTTCATCTTTGCCACTGCCCATGGCCCAAATGAGGAGTTTTGAAACGTTTCCATGCTTCATATGTCTACATCACTTTCTTGGTTTGTGGGTCGATCATATTTTGTTGGTTCTCTCTCTCTCTCTCTGCTTCGCTTTTCTGTATTTGTATTTGTATATAGAGATTAATATATGCATGTTTATGTACATATACCAGATCACCAATCATAGATTTACATGCGTGTGTGTGGTAATACATTTCCTTCTCTCTTTCTTGCTCCCTCTGCCATCTCCCCCTCTCCCTCTCTTGCTCGCTGCCTCTCAGCCTCCCTTTCCCGCCTATCTCAACCTCGATCATATTTTGTTGGTTCTCTCTCTCTCTCTGCTTCACTGTTCTGTACTCGTATTTGTACATAGAGATTCATATACGCATGTTTATGTACATATACCAGATAATCAATCATATATTTACATGCGTGTGTGTGGTAATACATTTCCTTATCTCTTTCTTGCTCCCTCTGCCATCTCCCCCTCTCCCTCTCTTGCTCGCTGGCTCTCAGCCTCCCTTTCCCGCATATCTCAACCCCCCTTCCATCTCATCTGCCACTGCCGTCGTCCCTCTTCCTGAGACCTCGTCATCCACGCCTGTCTATTGATTTCCTCTATTTGCCATGCTCTCCACCGCTGTACCTGCGTGCCTGTCGTGTCCTTGCGCGCAAGGGGCAAGACTGCAGGGATCTCAGCAAGTTCCCTGACCTGACCCTGACCATTGCTGGCCAGGACTCCCCCCGGCCGGCCCGAGGACAGGTCGTGAAGCATTGGGCATTTGGAGAGCGAGCACGAAACAATAGTCCTAAGCCAGTGTTCCCCAGACAGTGTCTGCACGTCGGGGCTCTCATCCGGTTCCTGCAGAACTGACCTCCCGCCCATGGCCGTCTCGTGGGCGCCGCGTGCGCTGCCTCCACCACGCACTCTGCACCACTCCATGGCTTCCACCGCACACGTGGGTACCGCGTGCGCTGCACCACAGCTTGCACCGCGCAGCTTCCACCCCGGAGACTTTCGCCGTCCAGGGCGTGCGCTGGCGAGCGCTGCTTCGTGGAAGTAGGCTGCGACCGGTGGCCAGCTGCGGCGGGGCGGCGCCCCCCTCCTCTCCCGGTCTTGCCTTCCTCGCGCTCCTCCCCTCCAAGCTTGCGCCCTGCTCCTCCCTCCGATCCCGTCTCCTTGCTCCCTCCGATCCGACTTCGTCCTCCATCCTCCCTCCTCCCTCCCCCCTTCCCTCCACCACGGCCCCGCTCGCTCCTCCTTCATGCCAGATGAGCTCCCTCACCCCCTCTCATCCCCTCTACCCTCGTCTCTCGTCTCCTCGCCTCCCCCTCCCCTCCCCCTCCCCCCTCTCCTCTCTCCCCCTCCCCTTCCCCCCCCCTCCCCTCTTTTCCCCTCTCCTCTCCTTGTCCCTCCCCGACCTCTCATCACTGCCCCCCTCCATTCTGCCACCGACTGCTTCTGCTTCGTCCGCTCTTGCTCCAGCTATCCACCGCCGCTATTCCTGAAGCCGCTGCAGTTGCGCCTGTTTCTCTTCCTCCGCCTGCTGTTGTTTCTGCTCCTGCTTTCTCTTCCACCCTTCCCTGCCATTCTGTCCTGGTGGCGGCCTCAGGAGATGAGGTTCGGACCCGACTCGTACATCGGCGAGATGACGGGACAAGGGAGCGACGAGGTCACGAGGGTGTGGTTTTATCCTCCTCGCTCCTTCCTCCCTTCTCCTCCCTCCTCCGCTTCTCTCCCCCTTCTTCCTGGGAAGGAGGAGTAACAGAGAGAGAGAGAGAGAGACAGAGAGAGATAGAGACAGAGAGAGAGAGAGAGAGCGAGCGCGCGAGCGAGGGAGGGATGGAGGGAGGGAGAGAGGGGGAGGAGTAGTGCGCGAGGCGGCATATAGCTGCTACTGCTGCCGCCACCGCTACCACCGCCACCATTACAACCGCCGCTAGCACAACCCCTACCAGCACTAACACCACGAGCGCAACTGCTACCAATACATTACCACTGTCAAGCCAAACTCTAGACGCTTCGCATGTCTTCGCTAGCCCATCCAGAAGCGACGCTCATGCGAGTTACCTTTTTCAGGAATTACCCTGGCGACGTACCCAATCCCTGCGCAATGCGGGGCATGAGTAGCTTGGCAGACGTCTTACGGAGGTGATGATGTGACATGGGCGCATATATTTCTGCGAGCCGCATTCGTAAGGTTCGCAGCCCCCCCAGGATTGCGAGGTCCCGCTCAGATCTGCGTGGTGCCTCACTCCGCTGGACCCGCTAGCAGCCTTCGAAAGTAGCGACGGTGTCGCAGATCGCAGCCCCCCAAGGACGGCGAGGTCCCGCTCAGATCTGCGCGGTGCCTCATTCCGTTGGACCCATCAGCAGCCCTCGAAAATGGCGACAGTTTCGCAGATCGCAGCCCCCCAGGGATTGCGAGGTCTCGCTCAGATCTGCGCGGTGCCTCACTCCGCTGGGCCCACCAGCAGCCTTCGAAAGTGGCGACAGTTTCGCAGATCGCTATGCTGGCTCCCCAAGCAGCCTTCGAAAGCGGGGACAGTTTTTGCAGATCGCAGCCCCCCTAGGGACGGCGAGGTCCCGCTCAGATCTGCGCGGTGCCTCACTCCGCTGGGCCCACCAGCAGCTCTTGAAAGTGTGGACTGTTTCGCACATCGCAGCCCCCCAGGGACGGCGAGGTCCCGCTCAGATCTGTGCGGTGCCCCACTCCGCTGGACCCACTTGCAGCCCTCGAAAGCGGTGACAGTTTTTGCAGATCGCAGCCCCCCCAGGGACGGCGAGGCCCCCCTCAGATTTGCGCGGTGCCTCACTCCGCTGGGCCCACCAGCAGCTCTCGAAAGTGGCGACGGTTTCGCAGAGAGCAGCCCCCCAGGGACGGCGAGGTCCCGCTCAGATCTGCGCAGTGCCTCACTCCGCTAGACCCACCAGCAGCCCTCGAAAGTGGCGACAGTTTCGCAGATCGCAGCCCCCCAGGGACGGCGAGGTCCCCCTCAGATTTGCACAGTGCCTCACTCCGCTGGACCCACCAGCAGCTCTCGAAAGTGGCGACAGTTTCGCAGATCGCAGCCCCCCAGGGATTGCGAGTTCCCCCTCAGATTTGCGCGGTGCCGCACTCCGCTGGACCCACCAGCAGCCCTCGACCGTGGCGACAGTTTCGCAGATCGCAGCCCCCCAGGGACGCCGAGGTCCCGCTCAGATCTGTTCGGTGCCTCACTCCGCTGGACCAACCAGCAGCCTTCGAAAGTGGCGACAGTTTCGCAGATCGCAGCCCCCCAGGGACGGCGAGGTCCCGCTCAGATCTGCGCGGTGCCTCACTCCGCTGGACCCACCAGCAGCCTTCGAAAGTGGAGACAGTTTCGCAAATCGCAGCCCCCCAGGGACGGCGAGGTCCCGCTCAGATCTGCGCGGTGCCTCACTCCGCTGGGCCCACCAGCAGCCCTCGAAAATGGCGGCATGTTCGCAGATCGCAGCCCCCCAGGCAAGGCAAGAGGAGACAAGAAGGAGGGCGGGCAGGAGGTGTGAATTGAACCCGTGTAGTACCCTCATATATACTCCTTATCTTCACCCTCCTGCACCTGGCCGTTTGGGCTCAGGTATTGGGACTTCCCAAGTACGCTTGGGACAGATCGATCAGACCTATGATCGTGCAGGAGGGAAAGACATCCATCTATCCCTCCTTCCCTCTACCAACGGACCAGGGGTTCTGCACCCTTGTACTTCAACCCCATACACAGGTTATCAGCCCTTTAAAGCTCACTGTTCATCGAACCCCGCGTCGCGATCTCGCACGCGGCCTCGATGGAACCCAAGCGGCGCATGCGCCGTAAGGGGTCCATCGGGGCCTCGCGTCCGAGCTCTCCGACGGCGCGACGGCTCGGTGATGAGTTGGAGAGCCTTAGTGCGGACTGTGTTGGTGTCCCAGGCCCCCCCCCCCCCCCAGCTCCGACGGGCCCGAGGCGCGGCTAGCTGCTGAACTTCACCGCAGCGCCGCCCGCGGGGGGACAGGAGAAGGAGTAGGAACAGGGAGGAAGGAGTTCCACACGCCTGCCTTCGATCCTCCATCTCCTCCTGAGTCGGGAGCAATCCCAACTGCGTCAGGCGAAAGCCTCACTGGTCCTGATACTCCAGGGCGCTGCCGCGCTAACCGCCGATGGACCTCAGGTGCTGGTACCCCCAGCCCTGCGACCGTTCCTGTTGCGGAGCACGTAGCCACCTTCGAGGAACTCAGTAGACCAGTGGCGGCACAGCCGCAGACGCAGTATCCCAAGGTATCATCGGATCCGACACCACACACATGGTCCTAGTCGCAGCTCGTCCGCGCGCAACCGTCGTGGGGCCCCAGGCCCATACGGCGAGAGTAGGTCGAGCCCGCGTACTGCCTCTCAGAGGCCATGCGCTCCCCGTGAGAGGGGGCAGAGGGAAGCTGACGCTCCCCACCTCTCCATCTCAGACGACCAGCTGGCGGAAACGTCCGTCGCAAGTGAAATAGCTGAGCTCAGAGACCAGGTTGAAACCTTCGTGTCCAGGCAATGCCCTGGGCCACTGCAGAGCGTTCAGACGAACGCCGCCGATACTGCAGCCATACGCCACGATCTCGACGGCGCCTTAGGGATCATCGATTCCAGGATTGCCGAAGATCGACGCATCATAGGTGAACTGCAGTATCAGGTTGATCGTGAGGTGTCACACTCAGGTGAACGAACGGCGATGGTCGAGAACCTGCGCAACTACCTCGCGCAGATGGAGCAACAGCTTGTGCTCGTACGAGACACAGGCGTTTCAGCAGTCAGGATCCTCCACGATGAGATCCACGACCAGCTCCGCAACCGACCACCACCAGCCGAGGCCACCGACCTTGGCGACGTTCAGTCTCAGATCAATGATCTCCGATCCCACATAGACCACACTACGGCGACGCTTCGTAACGAAGCACACACCAACTCGTCGAACCTGATCGACATGTTGCAACGTACTGAGAGAGTCATCACTCAAAGGCTTGATGCGACCAACGCTGTCGTGCAGCCACTCGCTAACCGGATCTCTGACATCGAGCAGCGTTTTCCTGGCGTACAGGACGCCCTGGCAGAGTTGCGTGTCGGACGAGCCCAGACTGATCAGCTGGGTCCTCCTCCCACGGTTTACGATGTCGCCCGCCTCACTGACAGGTTGCGGGAGGTTGAGAAGGCGGCGCACCACACGCAGTTGGAGCTCTCCCAGGTTATTCGCGAGAGAGATGCTGAGAAAGTACGTGTTGAGGGGCACCTCGCACGTCTGGAAAGCGAGCTAGAGGCACAAAGCGCCCGTCTCCGAGCATACGAGCAACGACTTGATCGGTACTCACAACGTTCTCGGGATACTGATGAGTACACACGCCAAAAGGTGGCCCAAATACACGAAGACATGACGAGCTGGACGAATCAGCTGATCGACCACACCAACGACACCAGTCTCCACCTTCGACCTGCAACCGACCTGCATAGGCCGACGGCAGCGTCCGCCGAATCACCACAAGCTTCTGCAGGACATCAACGACATACGTCACCAGGAGCAGCCTCCGCGGCAGCTTCAGCACAGACACGCCATGTGTCTCCTGTGCGCACAGAACCGACTACTGACGGTGTACCGATACCCTCACAACCACTGTCTGCGGTTTCGGTCCATACTACAACTCCTATCAAGGAGTCAGACACCGTCCGAGTCCCTGTCTTGCCTAAGATCACGCAGCTGCTCGAGTGGCAGCAAAAGGTACGGAAGAACTTTGGGGCCGCCTCAGGGCGACCATCCAAAGCATATGCCTTCCTACGCGTGGCTGAACAGCCCGAGTGTACCTTCGAGGACTTACAGGACAGTGGAGACTTTGAGAGCATCGATTGCAAACTCGCTACCGCTCTGAGCGACATCTTATCCTCAGACTTGCGCTACTAAATCAGGCTCATCGAAACCAGAGAGCACAAAGCAGGACGCATGCTCAAAGGACGCCAGATATACTGGCACATCCTACAGTCCTACAAAGTAACAGAGGGTGAGGACGACCTGCACGACTTCGAGCGCCTTAAAGAACTGAGAATAAGAGATGAAGATTTGCAACGTTTCATTACTGATTGGGACGCTTTACTATTGGAGTGCCGAGAAGCACCCGATCCAAAGATCATGGAATCGCTGTTTCGTACACAGATTCGGAGACATGCCTGGATGAAACAAGACATGTACGAGTACCAGCGCATGAAGAGCAGCGACCCGAATCGTACCTATGATTGGCTCCGACAGCGCGTCCTGGACGTACTGGAGCTCAAACAATTAGAGACGAATCAAAATAAGTTACGGTACGAACATGAGACACGTTCTCAAGTGAATGTGTGCGCTGCCTGGAAGAAAGGCAACTGTCGCAATGGTGAACGACGCAAGGCTTTGCATACCTATTCCAGGGATTGGAAGAACAACAGATCTTCCAGATCATCGACCGCTGGTGGCAACTCCCGCCGCAACGCGTCCACCCCTGTGAATCACAAGAAGCCAACATCGAAGCCATTTTGCTTCGATTTCGCCAAGCGCAACACATGCAACAGAGGCGACAAGTGCAACTTCCCACACGTTGCACAGTGTAAAGACTTCGCACAGAACAAGTGCCCCAAGGGCGACAAATGCAAATACGCACATCTCACACCT